AGGGGGGGAGTCCTGGATTGTAAGCTCCTCAGACAAAGGCTCTGTGTCTTTGCCAGCTCTTTATGGTCTATGAGAGGGATACAATGTCAGCGTAATAATTACATTGTAACCGTTTCATATATAACAACATGTTGCTGATGGGATCTGAGGAGCAAACCTAAAGGATCAGAGCCATGAAGTTCTTGTTGCCCTTGCCAACCGGGTTCTCAGTGTTCTATCTCCTGTACAGTACATTAGAATAAAGGAGGAATGTGATTGGTTGTTATGTTCATCGCTAATTGTTACAATTTACACATCAGTTGGGGGGATCTTGCTGAATTTTGTGCACAATTTGTAGATCAGCTTTTTGTGTCATGTCTTTCCGTGTTGAGGAAGGGGGGGCTTCTGATGTGAAAAGGGGGACCCTGATAAAGGGGGGGGGGCTTCTGATGTGGGAGGGGCTTCTGATGTGAAAGGGGGGGCTTCTGATGTGAAAAGGGGGACCCTGATAAAGGGGGGGGGTTCTGATATGAAAGGGGAACCCTGATGAAAGGGAGAGGGGCTTCAGATGTGAAAGGGGGCAGCTCTGATAAAAGGTGGGGGCTTCTGATGTGAAAGGGGCGGAATTCTAATGTGAAGGGGGGAGCCCTGTTAAAAAGGGGAGTTTTCTGGTGTGAAAGGGGAACCCTGATAAAGGGAGGGGGCTTCTGATGGAAAAGAGGGGCTCTTCTAAAGTGAGGAGGGAACTCTGATGTGAAGAGGGACTCCTAGTGTGACAGGGGAAACTCCTGTTATGAAGGAGAACCCCATGCTTTGTTGTGTAGGATCCTCCTTAAATCCATACTTGATCTCCTATCTAAGGGTCTATTATGGAATTTGGGGGGCCACACGTGCTCTGGTGCCGGGCTTGGGAGACGCATGTGCTCTGGTGCCATGCCCAGGGGGAACCATGAGCAGTACGGGCAGCAGAAGCACAGAAGCGATGATACATTGAGGATTAATAATACTTTAGTGTTATTCAGCCTGCTCGGAATTAGCGCCATTACTAGCACTTAGCTTTTGATTGGCCGGATATTTTTGCAGCCCTCATAACGGCTCGCCGCGTTGTATCGGGGTGACAGGTCCACTTTAGGTCACAGACAGCTGTAAGCTGGGGGCAGGTTGGGGCATGTCCTGTATTCAGACTGTCATGTGACCTGATGGTGATCCCTGCTCTGAATTCTCCATCCTGCGGATTCCTTGGAGGAGACAACACAGGAAATTAGCTCAGCAGTTTATTGATGAGTGATAGTTCCTCATTGTACAGAGACGCACATTCCCTGCACATTCTCCGTCACGTAGATCGCCTGTTAACCTTTTCATTGCCCAATAGTGAAAGCCCATCAGTAACTGTCTTTGTTATGTGTTGATGGTGGAACTTCTTTAGAATGTATTTATAGAGCGCCATCAACGTGCATACTTTTCATTCACATCAGCCCCGTCCTCAGAGCTTACAATCTCTAGATCCCCATTCACACCTTAGGCCCCGTTGACACCTTCACGTTGCGGCAATGCGCACATTGACGCAAAACACATTACAAATGTGCAATGCTCTTGCAGGGCTGTCTCTTGTTAATGGCACCCCAATGCCGCTGGGAAGCCGTACATTTTTTTTCGCGTGGTTAAAGAACACGGTACGCTTGCAGGAGAATTTGCTGCATGAGCTACTTTGCCACGCGTAGGCGGACTATTGATATGAACTAGGTGACGCTTGGCAACAGCAGCAAAAATGCATGTAACCGTGACGCGTGTTCACAGATCACCAGGGTACGAACCAGGACTTAGCGTTTCATTGCGTGTTTCCCAAAGCTTGACAACACTCCACATGGAACCCCATTATTTCCAACGGTTCACAACTGAGTGTTGTCACTTGTCGCACAAACAAGTACATGAGCCCCATAGACTTAGCGGCAGTGAAACTACAAATCCCATGAGGCATTGCAAGACTGACAGCCACAGGGTTGCCTGCCAGAGGGCATGCTGGGATTTGTATTTGCAAAACAGCTGGCGGGCCAAAGTTTGGCCGGCCATCACAATCATCATTGCGCATCAGTTGTATCCCATGGCAACCACAGCCTGGGCAACTGCAGTAATTACACCAGGGGTGTGCAACTCCAGCCCTCCAGCTACAAGTCTCATAATCCCTCTGCTGCTGGGAGTCATGCCTGTGGCTGTCAGTCTTGCAATGCCTCATGGGACTTGTGGTTCCACAACAGCTGGATGGCCAGAGTTGCCCACCCCTGGTATAACTACTGCAGTTGCCCAGGCTGTTGTTGCCATGGGATAAGACTGATGCAACTGCAGTAGTTACTCCAGGGATGGGCAACTCTGGCCATCCAGCTGTTGTGGAACCACAAGTCCCATGAGGCATTGCCACAGGCATGACTTGCAGAGCCAGAGGGATTATGGGACTTGTAGTTCCACAACAGCTGGAGTTGCCCACCCCTGGTGTAACTACTGCAGTTGCCCAGGCTGTGGTTGCCATTTGGATGCACAATGATGATGATTGTGTCTGGCGTGCGCCTATTATACGGGGACGAGCGGCACCGTGTTCAACGGCCGGTCAATTATGGTTTGTGATAAGCCGCGGCAGACGCGGGATCCATTTTAGTCCCTGATGACAGCTCTGTAGCATTGTAGCATTTCTAATCACCATGTTGGTTCAGGTTATCTGAGGACATGGAGACCGGCACACTAGAGGAGGGATTTTTTTTTTCCCTTTTCCTCTCTGGAAATAGTTCGCGCGGCGTCTAACTTTTAATTTTTTACAAAAAGCCCAGAAGGGCGCACCAGGACTGAATGGGGGGATGGAGTCCGATGGGTCTGGGAACAATGCAGGGCCTGATAGGAGTTGTTTTGCACGGCTCTCCCCTCCCCCACGCACTCAGACGTTGATGTGGCAGATGTTAAGAAGTGGCTCCTGGAGGGGCCCTAACACGGTGATGTAGTGATTAAAGCCGGACATACACGATCGATTTCGACCACAGTGACAAAAGTCAGAGGAGCGGGATGGAAATTTTTTCTCCAACAAATGAGATGCTAACAGTCAATTTGGTTCTCGTTCCGGGAAAGTCCATTTATTTACAAAGTCGAATGTTAAAATCAAATGAAAATGCCATCACAGACTTGTACAATATCGAACGTTCTGACAAGATTTGCGGTATGAACGTGCAGAGGAAATGTACGGGCAGCTTAATGCCTTTACGTTTGCCTATTTCAGGGACTTCGCAGTTGGTGGATGTTTGCTTTATAGTAACTTTGGCCCTCCAGCTGTGGTGACACTACAAATCCTGTCATGCATCTGTCTCTGGGAGTCATGCCTGTGGCTGGCAGAGTCTTGCAATGCCTCATGGGACTTGTAGTTTCACCAGGTTGCCTGCCTCTGCTTTATAGCATCCACGTGGGGGTGATGTTATGTCAGTGAGGTTTGGAAATAATAACGGATACATTTCTAGTGTATTTCCACACATCCGTTATATTTATCTGTTCCTGGTCACATTTGTGTTGTTGTGTTTGTGTGCATTTCTCTCCCCCCCCATGTGTCGCCCATTGCTTTCAATGGGTGCCGCACATGGTACAAACACAGGAAAGTAGCTCATGTAGCAGATTCTGCTGCAGACGCTGCATGTTTTTCACCAGATGTTTGTGCGCGTTTAATGCACAGGTAAGAATGCATTTTCACGGCCCCGTTTGGGGTGCCATTAGCAAGTAATGGCACCGCAGGCGTGTTGCACGCTTTTGATGCGTTCCGTGAGTGTGCGTTCACAGAATGGGTAGGAATAAATCTTTAACTCTTCCAAATGGGAACACGGACAGCAGGAAGTAAAGGGAAATCTTCAGAATGCGGACACAGTAGGAAGTGGTGGGAAATCCTCAGAACAGTGACACGGACAGCAGAAAGAGAAGGGCAATCTTCAGTATAGGGGCACGGACAGGAGGAAGTAAAGGGCAATCTTCAGTATAGGGGCACGGACAGGAGGAAGTAAAGGGCAATCTTCAGATTGGGGGCACGGACAGCAGGAAGTAAAGGGAAATCTTCAGAATGGGGGCACGGACAGCAGGAAGTAAAGGGAGATCTGCAGAATGGGGACACGGACAGCAGGAAGTAAAGGGAATTCTTCACAATGGAGGCATGGACAGCAGGAGGTAAAGGGAATTCTTCAGAATGGGGGCAAGGACAGCAGGAAGTAAAGGGAAATCTTCAGAATGGGGGCACGGACAGCAGGAAGTAAAGGGAAATCTTCAGAATGGGGGCACGGACAGCAGGAAGTAAAGGGAAATCTTCAGAATGGAGGAATGGACAGCAGGAAGTAAAGGGAAATCTTCAGAATGGAGGCATGGACAGCAGGAAGTAAAGGGAAATCTTCAGAATGGGGGCACGGACAGCAGAAAGAGAAGGGCAATCTTCAGTATAGGGGCACGGACAGGAGGAAGTAAAGGGCAATCTTCAGATTGGGGGCACGGACAGCAGGAAGTAAAGGGAAATCTTCAGAATGGGGGCACGGACAGCAGGAAGTAAAGGGAATTCTTCAGAATGGAGGAATGGACAGCAGGAAGTAAAGGGAATTCTTCAGAATGGGGACACGGACAGCAGGAAGTAAAGGAAAATCTTCAGAATGGGGGCACGGACAGCAGGAAGTAAAGGGAAATCTTCAGAATGGGGGCACGGACAGCAGGAAGTAAAGGGAAATCTTCAGAATGGGGACACGGACAGCAGGAAGTAAAGTGAATTCTTCAGAATAGAGGCAAGGACAGCAGGAAGTAAAGGGAAATCTTCAGAATGGAGGAATGGACAGCAGGAAGTAAAGGGAATTCTTCAAAATGGGGACACGGACAGCAGGAAGTAAAGGGAAATCTCCATAAAAGAGACTCCGCTAACAGAATGGGGGGGCTCTCCACAAATGGGATACAGACAGCTGGAAAGGGCACAGACAAAAGTGAAAGCCTGATGGGTTCTAACCCTTCCCCACTCCGTCCAGCTAGGGGAAGGGAGGCTCTGTAACAGAACTACTGACAAATGTCAAACTGACAGCTGAGCCCTGCAGGGAGGATCTGGTACAAAGCGGTACATGTCCCCGGGGGAATGGTTGCTGTGCTTACAGACTAGCACTGTACCGGGTAAATCCTTCCAGATGACGGGTCAGTGCTGTCTGTGCTCGTTGCCTCTGGGTTTGTCTAGTGATGATTGCAGCTGTCTGTGGGATGTTTCTATAGACTGAGAATGACAGATATCTGCGGTGTCACCAGGGCGACAATACAAGTGTTGCGTCTGTGTGATCCAACTGATACCTTCCGATACCTTCAAGAGGCTGTAAGCTTCAAGCCGACCTCCGTCCTTCCCTTCAGTCTTGCACGGTTGTTCCGTCTCCTCTCCTGGACAGAAATGGCTTCCTCTGATCTCGCTGCACGCTGTGAGCTTCTCGCAAGGCGCATTAGAAGCTGCAGAAAGTCAGATTGAGCCCGGATTATTCCCTGGCTGGAGGACAGGCTAATGTTATTTGGGGAAGAGTGTAGGCTCAGATTCACCAGCTGCTTTGCTATGGGTGCTAACTTGGAGCTGGGAGTAGTGGGTCCGCCATATCTTGAATTCATAGGGTGGATTTCATAGAATATGGTGTCTTTATTGATCATGTTACCCTTTTACATTGTCTCCATAGGTTGACTTCATGGACATCTGCGAGTCGATCCTGGAAAGGAAGAGACATGACAGCGAGCGTTCCTCCTGCAGCACATTGGAACAGAATGACTTTGAGGCCGTGGAAGCTCTAGTGTGTATGAGTTCCTGGGGTCAGCGGTGTCACAAAGGAGACGTGCTGAAGATGAGGCCACTGACTCCGGCTTCAGATTCCTCCGATTGCCTAATGCAGTATGAGTCCTCGCCACTCTTATCTAAAGATTTCCACTCTCTATCCACCCTGGTAAGAAAGAACGTGTAATTACCACCAGTGATCAAGAATGTAGTAATGAAACACAGCTAGGCCTATAGGACACTCAACGCCATAGTCTTCATGTGTTTATGTCTTCACCTATAGAGGTGTCAACCTAGACCTGCTTAGCCAGGGATTGGTCTATGTATGGGACATCCCAGACGTTCATGGCCAGTTACCCTGTTGGATTTCAAATGGACACGATGGCTGTATCTATGTCTATGAATTCCCAGGCTACATCTATATGTTTTTGTAGGTTTATGGCAATGTAAAAACTGTTAGGGCCACGCCTACTGTGAAAGGCTCTAACTGCAGGTGATTTGGTCATCCATGGTGATGGCCAAATATGGCAAATATGGGGCTACTGGCACAGGTGATGAACACCCGTACAAGCAAGCAAATGTAGACCGTTTTATGGTGTGCCTACACGGCGGTCCTATTCAATGCTGTCTATATTTTGCTGGATGGTACGGGTGTTCATCACCAGTGCCAGTAGCCGCATAGTTGCTAGTTTTGGCCATCACCCAAATCATCCAGCAAATGTAGACCGCTTTACGGCGGTCATATCCAATGCTGTCTTCATTTGCTGGATGACACGGGTGTTCCTCACCTGTGCCAGTGACCTCATTGTTGCCAGACCTGGCCATCACCCATATCGTGTAGCTCTACAGCCGTCATATGCAATGCTGTCTACTTTAGCTGGATGATACAGGTGTTCATCATCTGTGCCAGTAGCCATATAGTTGCCAGATTTGGGCCTCACCATGGATTCCCAAATCTCCTGCAATTTGAGCCTTTCACGGCACACGTGGCCCTAAAAGTTTTTACATTGCCATAAACCTGCAAACAAATATAGGTGTAGCCTAGCAGTTCATAGAAGACCCCATCAGATGACCCAGGATACCCTTCATTATTGAGCAACTTGTCCTGAGTGCTATCAGAGTCTGTGGAGCGTACAGGTCAGTAGGAGCATGGGGTGACCATGTTGTTACCAATGGCTGTAGGTAGGGATGCACCAATACCGTTTTTTCGCTAGTACCGATATTTTGCTTTTGGTACTCGCCGATACCGATATCTGTGCTTCCGCGGGCATGGAACTGGACGGAGAGTAATGACATGACTGCCTTGATTTCCCGGGAAGCCGGCTCCATGTTGTTTGACTGGCCCGATTGTGATTGGCTGGGAAGCCGGTTTCCCAGGCAATCAGCTTTGAGCCGGCTTCCAGCCAATTAGGAAGCTGGGCGGCAAAGATGGACGGAACTTCTGGTGATTACTCTGACTGGAAGTTCTGGTATCGGAGAAGGTATTGGAGCATTTGGGCGAGTACAAGTACTCGCACAAATACTCGGTGTCAGCACCCACTCTCAGATGGAAGTGGACAGTGATCACCACACAGAATAGTTTTGATTTTAAATGATATCTGAATAGGATGAAACCCAGAAGCCAGGTCGTCGGTGTCAATGGAGTGTGCGCCTAAAATAAATAAATCCTGGAGGCTCTATTATATTGCAGCTTACTAGTCCTTAAATGTGATGTCCTCAGCCTAAGTGTATTCTCTCCGTGCAGAAAATACCCTTTGATCCCAATAGAAATCCACTAACCTGCTGACTGAACTGACATCTCCAACAATATTATCAGCTTTCTCTGTGAACTGCAAAGCAATGTCTCCCTATGTAATAGAGATGGGGGGGTGTTGTAGTGGAGATTAGGATAGCAGCCCAGGGTGACAACTTTGCTACAAAGATATAGTGCAGTGAGTGAGGGTTGTCACCCTAGGACAGGAAGTGTGTTACTGGCAGAATAAAAAAAAAGAAAGAAATAGCCTGAAAAAAACAAACAAATGCAGCCACCACATGTAAGGATTAGTATGTTGAAAAATATTTTTGGGGTTTAGTTAAGCATTAAATAGTGAATCCAGCCTCAGGCTTAGGTTACAGAGTAAAATATTACAGGCACTGCAATGTGCTTTCTCTCTCTCTGTCTGTCTGTCTGTCTGTCTGTCTCTGTCTGTCTGTCTGTTCGCTGCTGCTACATAATCAGACTGATTATTTGTTTGATTCCTGTTGTTCTTTTGCCAACGAGCAGAAGCCAGTTTGCTGAGATGATGTAACTGGCTGGCTGTACAGCCCGTGCTTGCTGCCTTCTGTTTCTGTAATTCCTCCTAATATGCTGCAATCCGCTCTTACATTGGTAGGTAATTAATCAGGGATGAAGCACAGGACAGAGATGTGGGACTTCAGCATGCTTGTCATTAGAGCTGGAACATGATTGTTTCTTTAGCTGCTTTCCCTTCTCTATGGCTACCTCCCTTATGGAAGAAGGCCCGAGAGTCCTGGGTGTCAGCTGGGATGGGAGCTAGGAGTATGTGAGCTCTGTGTTCTTTAGATCAGCATAACAGCCTGTTCAGGAGCAATGGACTTAAAGAGGAACTTTACCCATATTATTGACATGACAACAAAGACACCTTTAGAAATGTTTAGTGATGACAATCTACACACAGATACTTCTGGATAATTGCCGGCTTTGTATTCTTCCCATACCTTATTTTTCTTTTCCTCCCCAATCTTCTCACAGTGGCCATTTTTTACTAAGGGCAGATGAATCCATCTCCCTTTACTTCCTGGAACTCTGGCACATGTGACCATGCACATTATCTCAGGGGAGGAAAATGCCTTTCCCTGAGATCTCATGAGATTTCCCAGCAATGCTCTGCTGATGTAATCTTCCCAGGATGCAATGCTTGGGCACGGGTTACATTGCTATGCCCAAGAGAACCAGGAAGTGGAAAACAATAATTGTAAGCAAAAGAAAAATGATTTACCTAATGAATGTGAGATGATTTTATATCGGGATGGAGAGCTGCATGCTGAGGTGATGTTAGTGCCTGGGGCTAAAGGAGGCGTAATTCCACTTTTGCAGTCCGGTTTGAGAAAACCCCTCTGTATGTTTCCTGATCACACACTATAATAATAAAACAATATTTCTTATCTTTTACATGTGTTTGAGAGAGAAGCTTGCAAAGGTCAACTACACAATTCCCAACTGATGGGAAACTCTGCCTGTCCCCATAGAAAGACTAGGGACAGACTGAGCTTTCTCTCATTAACTTACAAAGCTTCTAGATCTTTAAAAGAGAACTATCAGGTGAGCAATTTCCACTCATCCTAATAGATAGAGCCGACCTGTGACAAAGAAGTTGTCACAGGTCGGCTCTAACGTTCGGGAAGAGGGGGTGGGCACAGCTGGCTCTGCTTCTAGATAGGCAGAGCCCGCTGTCAATCAGCCAGCTGGGTGGATCTCAACAGCATTGTCTGACTCCGTCCTGGCTGCGGCGCTCTCAGTGTATTGCGATATACTGAGCTTTGGGTCACAGGAGGACGTTAGTATATGTCCTCTTGTGACCCTTAAGAGAACTACGGGATAAAAAGGTTTCTCCGTAGTTCTCTTTTACTTCTCTGTCTGTCCTTTGTTAGGACAGACAGAGCTCATATCTAGTTTAGTACCGATAATAAGATCTGCCAGCACAGTACAGACAGGGTTTATTATGTTAACATTTAT